TTACTTTGGTATCCTCCCTGTCGCCCGAGTGAGTGAGATTACCTTCAGTGGTTTTCTGAAACGAATCCGCACAAGTTATCAAATTGATTCCTGGTTTCAGAACCCACCAAATACGAGGGATCTCTCGTGGGAGCATGAGCTCTGGTGGCATGGAAAAGAAATTGTAGTACCACATGTGGGGAACCTGCGGAATGACATCTTATAAGAAGTGCATGCCAGTAAATACAGTGGACACCTCAGAGTTAAGAAAACCCGATGGGCATTGTCTGACGTATACTGGTGGCCAGGGTCAGGCAATGAAGTACAGCAGTTTGTTACACGCTACGACACGCGTGCACGTAATAAACCGAGCACACAAAAACCCGCTGGTTTGCTTCAACCACTTGCAACCCTTGAGGAACCCTGGGAGAGTGTGTCAATGGATTTCATCACTGACCTCCCTAAAACACGAGATGGTCATACAACGATCCTCGTCTTCGTAGATCGGTTGACCAAGATGGTGCGTTTCGTGCCTACAACCACTGACGTATCAGCGGAAGATACGGCTAAGTTGTTTGTGGCACATGTTTTTCGTTTACATGGTTTACCCCGTCTGCTAGTGTCTGACCAAGACCCTCGTTTCACAAGCCGTTTCTGGCAGGAGGACATTCGGACACTAGGGACAAAGCTGAAAATGTCGTCTGCATTCCATCCTCAAACGGATGGACAGACCGAGCGCACAAACCGCACTCTTGAACAAATGCTTCGTTCGTTTATTAGCCCAACACAAGATGATTGGGATGACCTGTTGCCAGTAGTGGAGTTTGCTATTAATAACTCGGTGCATGAAAGCACCCACGAAAAACCTTTCATCTTAAATTGTGGTCGGCATCCCACAACACCTGCTACACATGGGATCAGTGGCTTGAAAATTCCAGCCGCTAAGGACTTTATTGGCAAGCAGCAAGAAGCGCTTAGGTCTGCTCGTCGTTGGTTGCAACTTGCCCAACAACGCCAAAAGTCTTATGCCGACATGAAACGCCGGGACGTCTCTTTTCAAGAGGGAGACAAAGTATTGTTGAGAACAAAAAACATTCGACTCAAACTACCTGGGGCACGAAAGTTGTTTCCTCGTTGGATTGGGCCATTCGAGGTTATCAAGCGGGTTGGGGCGGTGGCTTATAAGCTTAAGTTACCAGGCACCTTGCAGATTCACAACGTCTTCCACGTGTCTCTGTTAAACAAGTATGTTGCCGAAGGCACGTACCAGCCACCACCAACCATCGTCCTCTGTGAGGAACTATATTATGAGGTCGAGCGTGTGCTGATGCACCGTGATCGACAACGCGGCCGTAAAACAAAACGTGAGTTCCTCATTAAGTGGAAAGGCTACGTGCCTAAACACAATTCATGGGAGCCAGAAGAACACTTGACTGAATCAGCAGTTCAAGCTTACATGGAAGACTTGGCTCTCAGAGTAGCCCCACAGCGAGTGGATGGTGTTGACCCTGGCCGTAATGTGGTGCGTCGTGCTCGCAGCACTCGCCCCAAGAAGCACTCCAAGGCAACGGGGACGTTGCCAACTGGAGGGGGAGGAGTGTAACGCATCACCTACCTACCCTAGCGACTATTCTAGCTAAGGCTCTCTAAAGCGCTACCTACACAAGGTAGCGACTTACGGGAAGAAAGGGTTGGAAGGAATGATTGTTGATTGGTCCACAATTGTGAATCACCATCCACTAAAAGACAAACAAGGTTGGGAACCAACCCAACCTTTGCATTGGTGGATATTCAAACCAATAACATTTCAATGCTGCTGTTACAAGTTACAATAGGTAACCAATCAATTCTTATCACAAATAAGTTGCTCTCATTGGTTGCAAATCCAACCAACATGCCACCTAAGCAAACTCACCTTAAGGACCTCCTTACCCTTGTTGCCATGGAGGAGATGGAGCTCCCCAAGGGGTATTGAGGAAGGGGTTTGGAGCTCCAAGGCTCATTCTCTCATTCCCAACTCCAATTGATCAATTTTGGAAATGAGATTTCTCTAAGTACAGAACTTTTCCCTCACAAGTGCTCTAAGCTCCAACTAACCCTTTGGTGGAAGCTACTCTATCACTCTCCAAGCTTCAACTACCATGTCTAGAAGACTCAAAGCTATCTTAGGGGCTAGATTACCTAGTGTGTTTTTATTGTTGGCGTTTTTATAAGCCTACTAGTGACCCTTTTTGTGGGCATTCATTTATAAGCCTGGGTCTTTATTGTGCTTTTAAGGGCGTTCCTCTATAAGCCCATGTTACACGAGGAGAATTCCAAGATCCGTTGGATTCTGGCCTGATATGGGTTTTCGATATCCATCTTGCATGTCCTTCCCTGTTATGACGGTTGGGATTTTACTACCTTCGCGCGTCGTCGGGACACGTTAGTGTGCCTTGACTTGAGCCGCGGACTTTCACACCCAATGCTCCGCACTCACTCTGTCTTTCCCTCCGAGGAACGGAGTCCGTTCCGCACTGAGTGCGCAGGAGGACGCGGTGCTGCTGCGCCACGCGCTGCAGTGCGGCACGAAGCAGTGGGGCGAGCTGGAGAGGAGCGGTCAGCTCACGAGGAGCAACAAGTCGTGCTGTAACCGATACATCTTCCTCCTAAGGTAACCCATGCTTCATGCCACATTTGTGATTATCTAAATCCAGGCGTCTTGATATGCCTGAGCATTTCTAACGCGCCTCGTCCGTTTCAAAAACGCATCTTCTCTCCTGTGTTCGTGTGTTGATGGCAGGAAGTTCACAGACCACTTTTGCCAGAACTTCCTGCAAAAGCACCAAGAGGCTGCTGCATTCCCGCAGCATATTCAGTCGGACCCACCGAGTCAGCCACGGCTCTGTCAGGATTTGGAGCAGCAGCGGCAACCGCAGCAGCAGCGTTCGAAAGGTGTCGGAGCAGCAGCAAGCGCATTCGGAGGGCTGCCGTATGAGGAGTGCGTGATGGCGTTCCTCGCCCCCAATGCTCGCTGCTGCCTCCCAGCAGCCTCACCTAACCTCTCATCTCCTAAAAAATCCTTCGAACTATCTCAATATCCACGTCACAGTCACCCGATCGTTATTCACGAGGTCCCCGCGGTGTGGAAGGCCTTTCTCCTCTCCTCCGTGCTCATACTGGGTCGGAACTTGGGAGGGATTTCGCCTGCCTGAAGAACAAACCGAGAAGCACGACCGCAAACCTAGCTACTCAAGGTCGCGCACCGTCCGTCAGACTCGTGGTCCGATCCTCCCCGCGTACTCTCGTAGATTTCGACATGCGAAAATGGCGACACCGCAACAGCTGGCTTTCCGGTCTGATCTAACGGCGCGCCTTACTACCGTTGGATCAGCCGTTGGATCAGACCGGCAAGCTGGCGTCACTGTTCGCGGCTCCTCGTTTCGCGGCGTCGGCTCTCGCTTGGCCTGCATCACCTCGTTCTTCTCCCAATTTGCACCCAAAAATCCCGTTGCGCTAGGGTTCGACGAACCGCAATGACGACGGCGGGTTCGACCACGGCCTTCTTCCCACCCTCGCGACCTTCGCTGCCCGCAGCAACCTCCCGTCGCTTTGCCGAGTCGCCTGTGTCAAATCAGGAGATGGCCTTTCCGATCTCGGCATGCTTCACACCCGCTTAATCCACTCTGGCCGCAGCAGGCTCGCGTCAGCTTTGCCGAGTCGCATGTGTCAACCGTGACCGTTGGTGCTTCGATGAATTCTCTCTCCACGTGGGTGACGACAAATTCTTGCTAGATACACCGTCAGTCTCGAGTTCGATACAATTCCGGGTATGCCGGGGTGGATGTGCCATTGGAAAGTTGAAAGCCGCGCGTCGCGTCTGGGGATGGGCGTCGCGTCTGGGGTGAGCGTCACCGCGGGGGGTTGAGTGTCGCGCGAGCGGATGAGCGTCGCGTTTGTGGATGAGCGTCACTCTCCTTGCCCCGTCTTTCCTATGCATCCCGTGCGATAGTTGCTCTTTGAATCCCGTCGTCTCTCCTCCCTCCCTGCCTTCCCCCTCCCTGACATATTTCACTTCGAGAAATTTTCAGATGTGATTTTTCCCTGTCCCCTCCCCGGTTCTCCCCCCTCCCTCTCTTCCCTCCCTGTTCCCCCCATCCCAGTCCCCGCCCTCCCTCTTCTTCATCCGTGTCTCCCCCTTCCCCTCATCCCTCCTCCTTCCCGTCAGGCCAGAGCACGGCAGCACGGGGGAGGGGATGCGTACGGCGTGCACAGGGAGGGGATGCGTACGGCGTGCACAGGGAGGGGATGCGTACGGAGCGCACAGGGAGGGGATGCGTACGGCGCGCAGGGAGGGGATGCGTACGGCGCGCACAGGGAGGAGAATGGCTAAGGGAAGAGCGTTGTGGGCCGTGGGTGATGTGATGGGCCGTGGGATGGAGGGGCTGTGGGATGGAGGGGTTGTGGGGGGTGGGAATGGGTTATAGAGGAGAGGACCGCGTTTCAGGTGCATTAGCACTAGGCAGCAAATGCATTGCTATCGCATGCTCCACATGACACCTACTCCCCGCTCTTTGCTCCACATGACACCCACTCCCCGCTCTTTGCTCCACATGACACCCACTCCCCGCTCTTTGCTCCACATCCCACTCTGTCTCCAACCCACCTCCTCTCACTGCCTCGTGCCACCAGCATTTGTGTGACCGTCATCCGTGTGACTGGCGTGTGTGTGCGACCCGCAGCGCTGAGTGCTTGCTTTTCTTCCCACCCATGAATCCCTGTCCCCTTGCCTGTATCCTGATTCCCTGTGTGGGCTTCCTTCGTCTGCCCGGCAGCTTGCACATTCATCTGCTCACACGCGGAGCACATGGGGCCCAGCAGATCAGTGCAGATCAGTGCAGATCAGTGCAGATCAGTGCAGATCAGCGCAGATCAGTGCAGATCAGCACAGATCAGTGCAGATCAGTGCAGATCAGTGCAGATCAGCGCAGATCAGTGCAGATCAGTGCAGATCAGCGCAGATCAGTGCAGATCAGCGCAGATCAGTGCGGCGGACGGAGCCGCAGAAAGTCACACGGTGCAGCTGCTGCGGATGCTAGGGGGATTGGATGAGAGCAAGAGCCAGGAGCAGCGGAATGAGAAGGGCGAGATGCGGGGATGAGAAGGGCCGGAAGCGGAGGGAAAAGTAGGGGAAGCTGAGAGCAGCGGAGAGCAGAGAGCAGCGGGAGAGCAGAGAGCAGCGGGAGAGCAGAGAGCAGCGGGAGAGCAGAGAGCAGCGGGAGAGCAGAGAGCAGCGGGAGGGCAGAGAGCAGCGGGAGAGCAGAGAGCAGCGGGAGAGCAGAGAGCAGCGGGAGAGCAGAGAGCAGCGGGAGAGCAGAGAGCAGCGGGAGAGCAGAGAGCAGCGGGAGAGCAGAGAGCAGCGGGAGAGCAGAGAGCAGCGGGAGAGCAGAGAGCAGCGGGAGAGGAGAGAGCAGCGGGAGAGCAGAGAGCAGCGGGAGAGCAGAGAGCAGCGGGAGAGCAGAGAGCAGCGGGAGAGCAGAGAGCAGCGGGAGAGCAGAGAGCAGCGGGAGAGCAGAGAGCAGCGGGAGAGCAGAGAGCAGCGGGAGAGCAGAGAGCAGCGGGAGAGAAGGGGGGACTATGAGCAGTGGGTGGCAAGAGGGACAGTTGGGAGCTACGGGGAAAAATGGGGGAGCTGAGAGCAGCGATGAGAAAGGGGCAGCTGGGAGCAATGGGGAAAGGGAAAGATGGGGGTGCTGGGAACTGCAAGGAGGTGATACGCCGGAAGCAGATGCTGTTAACATTTGAGTGAGGGTGGGTGGCGTGGCGAGGCGAGCGATGGGATATGAGGGATAATATGGACTGTGGGGCTGGATTGGATGGGATGTAATAATTTGGGGACAGAGTAGAGAGCTCCAGGGTGGATGAATTGAGCCGAATGGGATGGCTGGGGTTGGGTTGGGTTGGAATGGGAAGGTCAGGACTATGGGTTGATGGACACATAAGCATCTCCTTGTCACTCTCTTTCATTTTACTGAAACTGGTTGCAGGAAAAGGAGCAAGTACATGTCAGAATGTTAGGGCGTGTAACGTGTTCCCACGGCCCCCTATCAAAGCTTCCTCATATCAGGCTAGCAACGCTCCCCTGTAAATCGGCAATTACGCGAAAACCTCTTGTCAGGAATTCTTGACGGTTTGGGCTGATGGGCGACTGTAAATGTTTGCTGATGTGGCACCATGCGACTAACCACTGAAAATGCGCGCAACGGCACAGCTGAGCACCCTCGGGCGAAACCACATCCCACACTACTCAAGCATCGTCACATTGCTCCTCGCCCATCTCCTCCAGCCAAAGAAGTCACCTATTTCAACGAAACACGAGGACGTGACATCACATGGCTTTTCACTAGTAGGGCCGCCATGAACGACGTACCCTTCCTACCCCGTCTGTTGATCGTGTGGCACACTTTTTACTACAACACGTTTTTCGCGCTTGCTACCAAGGCTTGTACTCAGTTTCTCGAGCACATAGACGCATCAGAGGATGAGGGAAGCAACGTGGAATCGCGTAGTGAGATTCGGGCACGGAACCATTGTCTACGGCGGCAGCGGTTAGAGATATGGTTGGACGAAATGGAGGCGATGCCAGACAGGACGTTTATGGACTTGTTCAGAATAAATCAAGCGATCTTAGACTACATATGCGAAGGAATGCGAGCGACATTAAATCCGGTTATACAAAGACATGCTTTGCCGATTAGCGTCGCCATACTGATACCGATTAAATACTTAGCGAGTGCTCTGTCTTACGTGGACCTCGCTTCTGGTTTGGAGTTCCGAAAACGCTATGCCATGTGCTCGTGGATATTTTTCTCACCACTTTCCGATGTGTGTTCAAATCTGATGGGTCCGTTTCTCGACAGGAGACGAAATGCGCATTATGGCAGAGGAGTTCCGAAGCATTAAGGAAATTCCGGCAGTGATAGGAGCAATCGATGGCATGCATATTCAAATCAGGGGCATGGAGGGCCATAGGTCAGAGTATTACACAAGGAAATCCCAATACGCGGTTCAGATGCAAATCACATGCGACGCGAAAGGCAACATCTGGGATTACCTCATAGGGTTCCCCGGCACAGCACACGACCAGCGGGTGTTCATTAAATCAAGCCTCTACGAGCGACTAGAAAAAGGCGAGAACTCCCCGTACCAACTGGTCGGCGACGCGGCTTACCCCCTTCGCGACTACTGCCCCACACCCTTACATGCTCCCACAGGCCGCCTAATGCTAGAGTGGGAACAAACATACAACTACTGCTAGTCGGCCACATGGATGCCTGTTGAGTGCACCATCGGTCAATTTAAGGGCCGCTACCGCCTTTCGCCGGCTGACACGATTGTGCACTTTGGCGGGTGCTCGCCGGTGCTAGTTGTGTCGTAATCCTGCATAACATGGGGATTGCCATGGCTGGTTCGCGAATGAAAAAACCAAACCACAAATGGGAGGCTATAGCCCTCAACCGCGACCCATGGAGGACGAGGGGCGAATTGGCAATGTACAACAGGAGTGCGAGTGAGACTGGCATGCAGGCTGAGCTGAAAGAGCGGCGCAAGAGGCTCGGCGAGACGCTGCACGATGCCTACCTTAAGTGACGTCGTCGCGACGCCATTCCTCAACCCCGTCACTAAGGTCGGCATTGGCGTGAAGCTCGTTGCCGTCACGGCGGTCACGCCAACTGTCGTCGTCACCGTGGCGCGTTCTCGACAAGTGAAGCGGACGGCTGGTCTGCGACTGCTGCGTCCCCATCCACTCTCGAATAACCCCGGTAATTTGAGCGATGCCATCAACCGAGCACTGCTTGAGAGTGTCGGATAAGAGCTGGGCGGCAGCCATCGTGGCTGTGTCGTTCACCCTACGCCGAGCACTGGGCGGGGTGCTACGCACTAAAAACAAGATAGGGAGATAGGTGGTATTATAGGCGGCTGTTGATTTATGTGTGTAAGAATGTTTTTTGGTAGAACGTAATCATACTAAAGGCGTGGTGTAGACAGAATCTTGTTACATGTAGAGAATGAGAAGGGTCGGATAGTCAGATTATATTTAGCTGATGCATGTATTGTAGGCTGTAGTGGGGTAGCTCATATGGGGTACAACCCAATTAGGGTTGGTACTTGTACTTGTTTCGTTTCATAGTGCACATCATTCCTCTCTCAACTCAACATGGTATAGAGCGGGTCCTTCCTAAGGACCATTGTTTAAGGGCCCACCCACGAAATTTTCGCTGCCCGGAGCGCGCCCTTCGCTCCCCGAAGCGCGCTCCCCCCTTAGTCCTCCTCGCGCTGCCCTTGTGGCCCCCGTGAGTCGCGCGCGCGACCTTTTTTTTTTTTTCGCGCGCGCGGCCCGGGCCACGTCGCGCTGGCCTTACGGCTGCGTCGCGCCGCCCTCGCGGCTCTGCTGCGTCGCGCCGCCCTCGCGGCCCCCTAGCGCCGCCCCAGCGGCCTCCTCGCCTGCCTCTGCAGGCCCCGCCGTCGCACCTGCCGGCCCCGCCGCTGCACCCGACGGCTCCGCCGTCCCCTCTGCCGGCCCCGCTGCTGCACCCGACGGCTCCGCCGTCCCCCTTTGCCGGCCCCGCCGCTGCATCCGACGGCTCTGCCGTCCCCTTTGCCGGCCCCGCCGCTGCCCCGACGGCTCCGCCGTCCCCTTTACCGGCCCCGCCGCTGCACCTGACGGCTCCGCCGTCCCCTCTGCCGGCCCCGCCGCTGCACCTGACGGCCCCTCCGCCGTCCCTTTCTGACGGCCCCGCCGTCCCCTTCTGACGGCCCCACAGCTGCACCTGACGGCCCCGCCGTCCCCTTTCTGACGGCCCCGCCACTACCCCTGACGGCCCCGCCGCTGCATCTCCCGGCCCAGCAGCCCCAGCAACTGTGCCGCCTCAGCAGCAGAGCCGCCCTAGCAGCCGAGCCGTCCCAGCAGCCGAGCCGCCCCAGCAGCCGAGCCGCCCCAGCAGCCGAGCCGTCCCGGCAGCCGAGCCGCCCCAGCAGCCGAGCCGCCCGAGCCGCCGAATCGCCCGAGCCGCCCAGCAGCCGAGCCGCCGTGGCAGCCGAGCCGCCCCTGCAGCCGAGCCGCCCCAGCAGCCGAGCAGCCGAGCCGCCCGAGCCACCCGAGCCGCCCGAGCCCCCTGCACTGCCCTGTCTGGTGAGCACTGAGCTTTCCTCTGCGCACTGCCCTCACCCTACTGCTGTCATGGCTACCCCCAGTGTCCTCACCTTTGACGCTGAGGGCAGAGCCATCGACTTTGACGTGTGGGTAGACGATCTGCTGCTTTTCCTACAGTGCGACAGAGCTGACGGCCTCTCTCTCTTTGATCTCACTTCTGGTGCCTCTCCCGCCCCTGCTGCTACTGAGGATGCCACTGTTCGCTCACAGTGGGCCACACGCGATGCTGCTGCACGTCTTGCTGTGCGTCGCCACCTCCCCCCCGCTGAGCGTGCACACTTTGGGTCGTACAAGAGTGCTAAGACCTTGTACGACGCCGTTATTGCACGCTACTCCACCCCTGCCACTGCTGCACTGAGCCGCCTCATGCTACCGTACCTCTTTCCCGACCTTGCTGCTTTTGCCACAGTCGCCGACCTCATTACCCACCTGCGCACTAGTGACGCTCGCTTCCGCGCTGCACTTCCTGCTGAGTTCTGCGCCAAGAACCCCCCCCCCCAGTACTTCACTCTCTACTACATTGTCACCCGCCTCCCTGACTCCCTTCGCGGAGTCAGGGACGACTTACTCTCAGTCTGCCCCACCACTCTCACTGTTGAGATCCTCGAGAAGTCCCTTCTGGCAGCCGAGAAGAGCATTCTCGCTGTAGGGGCCTCTCGTGGTGACCCGCGCACCCCCATCTTTGAGGGGTGTTCCCCCTCCCCCCTCCTGCCCTCTGTCGCATCTGCTGCCACGGCCGACCTCGTTGGTTTTGAGTCGGTCGGTGCGGCGTCTGCCCCTAGCGGGAGACGTCGCGCTAGCAAGGGCAAAGGGGGCAGGGGCGGTGGGGGAGGCGGCGGGGGCGGTGGAGGCGGGGGGGGAGGCAGCACAGGAGGTGAGGGTGGTAGCGGGAGTGGTGGAGGGAGTGGTGGTGTCAGCGGCGGCAGTGGAGGCGGGGGTGGCAGCGGCGGTGGTGGTGGGGGTGGAGGCGGAGGCGGTGGTGGTGGCGGCGACGGTGGAGGTGGCGGTGGCAGCGTAGGTGGTGGCGGCGGCGGCGGAGGAGGCGGCGGAGGAGGCGGCGGAGGTCGTGGCTCGTCGCGGAGGAGTGGCTCCGGTGGTGGTCAGCGCCAGCAGCAGCAGCGTGGTCAGGAGACCCTCTCCCCGCAGCAGCTCCGTGAGTGGTACACTGCGCGTCAGAGGGGTGGGGGTCCTGGTCCGTGCACCTACGTCCTGCGCACTGGCGACCGTGCGGGTGAGCCGTGTGGTGGTCCACACTCCGCCCAGCGCTGCTTCGGCCGCCTGACTGACGCTTGGCGCCGCCAGTTTCTTGACACCTCTCAGATCCCTCGCTGGGACCAGCTGTCTAGGGCAGGAGTAGCTATCTTTGATCTTGACTTTGATGCTATTCTTCGTGCCATGTATGCTGTGACTATTAGTGAGGAGGGTGACTGTTACCGGTGTTTCCCGCCCGACCCGGGCATTGGTACTGCGGCTCTAGGTGCTGTTGAGGCTACTGCTCCAGGTACTGGTGAGGCTGTCGCTCTGGGTGCCAGTGAGTCTGTGTCCTCAGGTGCTGGTGAGTCTGCTCTCTCAGGTACTGCGTCGGCTCCGCCCTCTCTCACCTTCACTCTTGACTCAGGGGCGTCTCGCTCCTTCTTTCGAGACCGCACCACACTCACGCCGCTCAGTCGGCCAGTGGCGGTCTCCCTGGCGGACCCCTCTGGGGGTCCTGTTCTGGCTTGCTACTCCACTGTCCTGCCGTGCCCTGCGGTCCCGTCTGGCGCCCTGTCCGGTCTCTACCTCCCCTCGTTCTCTATGAACTTGGTGGCGGGAGCTGACCTACAGGATGCAGGGGTTGACCAGTTCACCCCTGCGCGCCGACAGGACACCCACTGCACGGACGCGGACACGGGTCGACACTTGACCACGTTCACACGTGGGCCGGGGTCGAGCCTGTACACACTCACTGTTCCGTCTCCTCCTCCTGCGTCTGGTCAGGTTGCAGCGTCGGGTCAGGTGTTTGCTGCAGCGTCCAGGTCTGGTCCTGAGTCTGCCCCCTGCTCGTGTCGCCTCCTGTCTCACGAGACCCTCCTATGGCACCACA